CTAAACAAAATCAACCAACAAAAAATACCTATTTATAGTATAGATTTAGTTGAAGCGATAAAATTGTGTTCAAAATATTTAGATTTCGCTATTAAATAACCCATAGAGGTGTTGATATGCCGCTAAACAAAATCAACCAACAAAAAATACCTATTTATAGTATAGGTTTAGTTGAAACGATAAAATTGTGTTCAAAATATTTAGATTTCGCTATTAAATAAGCCATAGAGGTTGATATACCGCTAAACAAAATCAACCAACAAAAAATACATATTTATAGTATAGATTTAGTTGAAGCGATAAAATTGTGTTCAAAATATTTAGATTTCGCTATTAAATAAGCCATAGAGGTTGATATACCGCTAAACAAAATCAACCAAAAAAAAATACATATTTATAGTATAGATTTAGTTGAAGCGATAAAATTGTGTTCAAAATATTTAGATTTCGCTATTAAATAAGTTTATAGAGGGTTGATATACCGCTAAACAAAAATCAACCAACAAAAAATACATATTTATAGTATAGATTTAGTTGAAGCGATAAAATTGTGTTCAAAATATTTAGATTTCGGCATTAAATAACCCATAGAGGTGTTGATATGACGCTAAACAAAATCAACCAATCAACAATACCTAGTATATATCTAGTTGAGGCCATAAAATTGTTCGAATCAATCAACCCTTATTAAAACCAAATCTCGTTCAACGCTGAAAAACGTAAAAGAGGCTTTACGTCCAGCAGTGTCAAATATTACACGAAGGTTTAATTTATCATGTAGCAATAAAAAAAAAGAAAAAAGAAAAAGAAAAGAACAAAAAAGCAAGATCATTCGTTAAATTGATTTTAATTTAGTTTATTTTTTACTTTCCGGGTGCATATGTTGCTAAACAAAATCAATCAACCAACAATACCTATTTATAGTATTTATTTAGTTGAAGAGATAAAATTGTGTTCAAAATATTTACATTAAATAACCCATACAGGTTGATATGCGTCTAATCAATATCAAGCAATCAGCCAATTATCTACCATGTATCCAATTGTGAAAGCAGAATAATATATATTTTTATTACTTCAAATAGAAAATTAAATTTCGGCATTAAATGACCCATAAGTAGTTGGTGTGCCGTTATAAAAAAGACAAATCAGTCACCCTTTCCTATTTTTATACATGTTTTTCTTTCTACTTTATTTCCCCGCTCTCTCTTTTTCTCTGTCTCTTTCTTTTGCTTATGTTAACTCCTTACTAACACCTTGTCACTCTCTGGCGATTTTTCGCAGACATTTGCAAGAGCTGCTCTATTTTATTCATTGCATCAATCATTTCTTCCAATATTTCCTTCTTTCTCTACATTCCGTTCTACTAAACCTTTCAACTCTCTCAGCAGATTCACCGACCCAAAAAATTTTCCTGAAGACCAAAATATGAAATATCATTTTTCTTTACCCACATAATCAATGCAAAAGAAAATCAAGTTTGGCAAAAAAATCATGTATTATATATATCAGCGGTGAGCGAAATGCTGGTGTCGAGAAAATGAAATTCAAACACATGAATTTGCTGAGGAATTTTTGAATTCTGGATCAGGGATAAAGGAGAATTTCCTACAATTTCTAAAATGGCGCTACGCGTTCTTTTACTATTTAGCAACATATACCCATGTAAAACGACTTTTTCATCTTTAACCCCTATTAAAACCAAAATCTCGTTCAACGTTGAAAAACATAGAAGATGCTTTACGTCCAGCAGTGTCAAATATTACACCAAGGTCTAATTTATCATGTAGCAAAAAAAAAAAAAAAACAAAAAACAAGCTCATTCGTTAAAGTGATTTTTACTTTGGTTTATCTTTTTACTTTTGTTTATTTTTCTAATTGAAGCAAATCCTAAAATAAATAATAGAGCTACTATATATATATATATATATATATATATATATATATATATATATATATATATATATATATATATATATATATATATATTATGAAATGGATAAAGTACGACAATTATTTAAGACATTTTTTTGTTTATACGTTCTTGTTATAGGTACAAATACTTAAGTAAATGCTCTGTTTATAATAAACAGTATTAACAACATTTACCAGCCTGAATTTCCGAGAAATTATCATACAAAATATGCGTCCTCCGACAGGAATCGAACCTGTATTCTACAAGGAACCGTCATATAGCTTGACGTGAACCCCCATTTCGTAATGTATGACTCATTTGTTTATATTTGAATAAGCATTGAGCAGATATTAATGAATGAGAGAAAATCATGGAGAATTGTGTTTAAAAACAGTAAAATTTACCTTACTAACCGAACGTTCCTATGTTGCCAAATGGGTTCTGGCACGTCAGGCCATATGACGGTTCCGTATAGGATACAGGTTCGATTCCTGTAGGAGGACGCATATTTTCTATGAAAATTTCTCGGACATTCAGGCTGGTAAATGTTGTTAATACTGTTTATTATAAACAGAGCATTACTTAAATATTTGTATCCATAAAAAGAACGTATAAACATAAAAAATCTTATATATATATATATATATATATATATATATATAAAGCACATTTCATTGAATCCGACAAACAAGGTGCTTTTATTTAGTTTTTTTATACAATTTCTTATGCGATCTAATAATTTATTTCTTTCAGATGATAAATTATATAAAAACTGTCCGAATGTTCTTTTTATCTGAGCGCTTTCGGCTATACATTTAGCCATTTTCAAGGATTAAATATTTTAACTATTAAATAAGAAATTGTTTGTTGCATGTATGTTTTATCAAATGTTTTCATTTTTGAAAACACTGTCAAGATATTGTGTCCATGTTCAAAGTTAATATTATTAATTTATCATCTGATAAGAAAAAAAATTAGATCGCATGAGAAATTGTATAAAAAAAACTAAGTAAAAGAACCTTGTCTGTCGTATTCAATGAAATGTGCATGAAAGAAGGATTGCTGCCTAAAATATATATACATATATATATATATATATATATATATATATATATCGTGCGGAGAAATGGGGTCATAAATGGAAAAAAAGTTTAAGAAGCTCTGTTATATATCACTGCGTCAAACCAAAGTGTAGAGTATAGCAAAAAATGACTGGCGATAGGACAAAACACGGGAGGAAGGAAATCCGTACATTTTTGCACAAGCATTGAGGAGCAATAAGCAAATCAGTCTGAATTAAATTGTGAGTTCGAAAGTCACCCCACATATGGGACCTTGTGCCAAAACGATGCTAGAACGTTTATTTTAGGGCGGTAAGAAAATTATTTCATCGCTGCGAAGTATGAGTCCGTTAAATAAGGCAGAACCAAAACTGGCCGTACAATTAGTTTAAAAATTCTTTCATATGGCAATATGTCGGTTATAGGAGATCTGGGTTCCTCGTAATCTCCAGCTTGAGAACCAAGTGGAACCAGTCTTTTATAACATGGAATGACACTCGTCCGTTTCTGCAGTGCAGTGTTCTGCAGTGCAGTGTTACAGAAAAAAAAAAGTTTCTTACATGCCAACAAAAAGCGAAAAAGACACTGGTTATCAGAAAATGGTAAAACCGAAATCAGGAATCCATCCGCATAGATTGGGTAGAAAGGGAATGAGAATAGATTGGGTAGAAAGGGAATGAGTATAGATTGGGTAGAAAGGGAATGAGAATAGATTGGGTAGAAAGGGAATGAGAACAGATTGGGTAGAAAGGGAATGAGTATAGATTGGGTAGAAAGGGAATGAGAATAGATTGGGTAGAAAGGGAATGAGAATAGATTGGGTAGAAAGGGAATGAGAACAGATTGGGTAGAAAGGGAATGAGAATAGATTGGGTAGAAAGGGAATGAGAATAGATTGGGTAGAAAGGGAATGAGAATAGATTGGATAGAAAGGGAATGAGAATATATTGGGTAGAAAGGGAATGAGTATAGATTAGATAGAAAGGGAATGAGAATAGATTGGGTAGAAAGGGAATGAGTATAGATTGGGTAGAAAGGGAATGAGAATAGATTGGGTAGAAAGGGAATGAGAATAGATTAGATAGAAAGGGAATGAGTATAGATTGGATAGAAAGGGAATGAGTATAGATTAGATAGAAAGGGAATGAGAATAGATTGGGTAGAAAGGGAATGAGAATACATTCCGTAGTAAGTGAATAAGAATAGACAGTGTTTAAAGGGAATAAAAATTATTTTAGTAGAAAGAGAATAAGAATCTATTGGGTAGAAAGGGAATGAGAATAAATTGGGTGGAATGTGAATAAGAATAGATTGGGTGGAAAGGGAATGAGAATAGATTGGATAGAAAGGGAATGAGAATAGATTTGAAAGGAATGAGAATAATTGGGGGAAAGAATGATGAGAATAGATTGGGTAGAAAGGGAATGAGAATAGATTGGATAGAAAGGGAATGAGAATAGATTAGATAGAAAGGGAATGAGAATTGATTGCGTAGAAAGAGAATGAGTATAGATTGGATAGAAAGGGAATGAGTATAGATTAGATAGAAAGGGAATAAGAAAACTGGATGAAAGGGAATGAGAATACATGAGTAGTGCAAGAATAGACAGTGTTTAAAGGGGAATAAAATTATTTTTAGTAGAAGAGAATAAGAAAGAAAGGAATGAGAATAAAAATTGGTGAATTAAGATAGATTGGTGGAAAGGGAATGAGAATAGATTGGGTAGAAAGGGAATGAGAATCGATTGGGTAGAAAGGGAATGAGAATATTCCGTAGTAGTGAATAAGAATAGACAGTGTTTAAAGGGAATAAAAAAATTATTTTAGTAGAAAGAGAATAAGAATCTATTGGGTAGAAAAGGGAATGAGAATAAATTGAATTGGAATGTGAATGAAGAATAGATTGGGTGAAAGGGAAACAGAATAGATTGGTGAAGGAATGAGAATAGATTGGGTAGAAAGGAAGAATCGATTGGGTGGAAAGGGAATGAGAATAGATTGGGTGGAAAGGGAATAAGAATAGATTAATTGGAATAGAATAGTGGATAGAAAGGGAATGAGAATAGATTGATTGGAATGTGAATAAGAATAGATTGGGTGGAAAGGGAATGAGAATAGATTGAATTGGAATGGAATGAAATAGATTGGGTGGAAAGGAATGAGAATGATTGGGTTGAAAGGGAATGAGAATAGATTGGATAGAAAGGGAATGAGAATAAGTTTTGGAAGGGAAAGAATAGAAGATGGGAAGAATAAAATAGATTGGGTGGAAAGGGAATGAGAATAGATTGGATAGGCAGAAATTGGGGAATGAGAATAGATTGGGTAGAAAGGGAATGAGAATAGATTGGGTGAAATGAATGAGAATATTGGGTGGAATGGGAATAGAATGGAAGGATTAGATAGATTAGATAAGGGAATGAGTATAGATTGGGTAGAAAGGGAATGAGAATAGATTGGGTAGAAAGGGAATGAGAATAGGTTGGGTGGAATGTGAATAAGAATAGATTGGGTGAAAAGGGAATAAGAATAGATTGGATAGAAAGGGAATGAGAATAGATTGGATAGAAAGGGAATGAGAATAGATTGGGTAGAAAGGGAATGAGAATAGGTTGGGTGGAATGTGAATAAGAATAGATTGGGTGGAAAGGGAATGAGAATAGATTAGATAGAAAGGGAATGAGTATAGATTGGGTAGAAAGGGAATGAGAATAGATTGGGTAGAAAGGGAATGAGAATAAATTGGGTGGAATGTGAATAAGAATAGATTGGGTGAAAAGGGAATAAGAATAGATTGGATAGAAAGGGAATGAGAATAGATTGGGTGGAAAGGGAATAAGAATAGATTGGGTGGAAAGGGAATAAGAATAGATTGGGTGGAAAGGGAATAAGAATAGATTGGGTAGAAAGGGAATGAGAATAGATTGGATAGAAAGGGAATCAGAATAGATTGTGTGGAAAGGGAATAAGAATAGATTGGGTGGAAAGGGAATAAGAATAGATTGGGTAGAAAGGGAATGAGAGTAGATTGGATAGAAAGGGAATGAGAATAGATTGGGTGGAAAGGGAATGAGAATAGATTGGGTGGAAAGGGAATGAGAATAGATTGGGTGGAATGTGAATAAGAATAGATTGGGTGAAAAGGGAATAAGAATAGATTGGGTGGAAAGGGAATGAGAATAGATTGGGTGAAAAGGGAATAAGAATAGTTTGGGTGGAAAGGGAATGAGAATAGATTGGGTGAAAAGGGAATAAGAATAGATTGGGTGGAAAGGGAATACCTTCTCTTCATGGTTTTGCAAACAATAACCCAACTTTCTTTCTATTTTCTTTGGGGCTTTCTCTTTACTCACATGCTTAATCAGCTTCCTTCCCTAGAAACACGTCTCTTTTACCACAACTATCTTCTTAATCTATTAGGAGATTATCCTGTATTCACTGCCATGTAGAAGACTGATATTACCTAACAATTCATTTTTGTGTATCTCTAGGTAGAACGATAAAGAAGAGTTCCACAGGTGATAATTGCGTGTTGACAGGAAATAAGAAAAAACTAGAAGTGAGAAGTACAGGCCATGAGACTTGAATATATGGTTAGATCTACCTATTTCAACACTAGTGCAATGAAAAGAATTTGACAATCTTGTAGTACGCTTAAATTCCCTCAATTGTGACTCCAATGTGAAGAGATCATCAGAACTATACTCATGTAAGTATTTATAATACATAAAACGAATTCACGTCACGGCGTAGAGAAAAAGACTAAAGTCGTATTCCCAAGTCACCCGTGTAATATAGTTACCTTATCAAGTGTTAATGCTATCGTTCCATAGTGAGTAGAGTTTTACAAGATGGAAGTGACAAAACCACGCCCAACTTCATCCTTGTGCAAATTAATTGAAACAACCGCTTTTGTTTCCTTTCTTTCACCATACGGTCAGTTTTAGACCCACTGGAGTGACAGGGTGTAATCGATTTCTATTTGTTCCTCAGATTAGGTCTTTTTCAGTGGTGTGCAGTAATTTGAATCTATTTTCGAAGTGTATGATTAAATTTGTTTGACCTTGAAAAATATTGCATTAGCCGTGATTGCTTCAGATTTTTATCACGCCCAGACACTATTGTCTCGACTGTCGATTAGTTGTTTTACGCCATTTGTCTGCGATGACGTTACTCCAATGAAGCTTCACGAACACACTGGCAAACCTTACTAGTGAGCCAATCAAAGTACTATAGACTGGCCCGGAAGCTCTCCTGATTTAAATCCAGTCGAGAATCCGTGGTCAATCAGCAAGGAACGATTTCGTGGAATGGACATACGAAGTACTAACATGTGTACTATGCCATGTTTCATTGGAAAATAGAGGAAAAAAAAAACAAGTAAATAATAACGGTATTATTATTTTTGTTTCAATTAATTTGCACAAGTGAGTAGTTTTAAATTCGCTTGTTTTCCTTCTTCTAGATTAGTTGATAACCAAGGCTAAAGAACCAAGACTGGGGCGATACTATCTGAGCAAAAGG